CCAAGTAGAGGCTCTAATGGCACAAATCAAGTTACAGAGGGAAGGTAGTTCTTAAAATAAAATGCCTATTGACTAGCACTTTGTCTATTATAGTATAAAGGTTAGGCACCACAAGATGTAAAGGCTCAACTATGTCATTTATTATTCTTAAGTCCTGGAGCAAAGTTCATCTACTACTGGGTTGTTTTACAACTCGGAAGTCCGCATGCAAGGCAGAGGTGAAGTTAGGAACTGCTTATGTGGCTTTCTGTCAATTCCAACAACTAAGAGATAGTGAGAAGAGTTGGGACCTCAGAAGGCTTTTAGGACCAAATAGTAGGCTCTTGTGTCCAGGAGAAAACGCGTATACTTACCAGTGATGTTAATGCTCACCCACAGCTCTTCTGGGAGGATCTAAATCGTTGAAGCGAAAAGATTCTTTTTTAATTACTAGGCTATATTCTCTCTCCTGTGCCAATCTGTAGCACTGACATTTTCCTCAGATCTTTCCCTGCCTCAGTGGAGAGGTCGCTATCAGATTAGTAATTAACATTATGATATGATGCTCTTTATATTTAACTATTAAAGATACATTTTTTTTTAAAAAAAAAGTAGAAGACCACTTGCCAAGTTCCATCTCCATTTTTGTTCGATGCAAAATTCCTTTGTTCCATGCAAAATTTCTTTGTTGCTGCTAATTGCCATTGAGTCGGCTCCTACTTAAAGCAACAGAACATTGACCAGTCCAGTGCCATCTTAATAATCATCGCTGTAATTAGTAGCTGGACATGTTTTAAAGACTGTGGTTTGTAAAGTTTTTGTGAATTCTGGAGTAATTTTAAAACTAATATTTTTTGTAATTATAATTTATACATATTAAAATGTAGATGTACACATTCTCAGAGAATAACTCAGTGACTTTAGATTTTCATCTTTTGAGGGAGTTTGTGTGCATATCATAGTAATTACTTTGTTGTAACTGTGGTGCACTGACCTGTGTTACGCTTTCCTTTAGTAATAGTATGCTGATCACCCCCTTATTTAATAGAGGCTTACTCTTCACCCAACCTAATAAGTATCTGTTGTCTAATTAGGAAGCTCTGGTAGAAAGTTGAATGGTGGTATGACTCTTCCAATGCTCCCAAGAAGAAATACAGTCCATCTGCTATGCACATTAGGCCTCAGTAACCCAGTTGAGGGTCAACTATGAGCCAGTCCATCAAGAAACAGTGAATTTGGGGGGTTTTTGAGATAATCTAATTACTGGCATTTCTTTCCCTTTCTCCCATCCTCGGTAAACATAAAAAGAATTTATAATTGTGAACTCACAATTATAAAATTGTGAGTTTTTAAGGAATTGTATCCTTTTGTGATTGAATCCTTTCACTCAGTGCAGTGTCTTCCAGGTTCATCCATGTTACATATTATATAGTATTTCTGGAATTTTTATTATATAGTATTTCTGGAATTTTTATTCTTTAATGGTGCCGGGTATTAAATTCTGTGTATATGTACCATAGCTGGCTTTCACCTTTTTGATACTATCCAGACCAAGACAGGGGACTTTGCTGTCACCCACAGTGAAATTGCCTCCTGTCCACTTCTCCTCAGTATGGACTGTTGATATTTTGGTGTTTAAATTTAAGAACCATTTTCCTATTAAATGCTGTATATGTGTGTTGTTCAGTATGCTTTCATCTAGTTAATTCACTTAGTTACTGGTTTTGAGATTGAATCCCCTTTAGTCGCACTTTCAGAGCTTATATTGCTAAACAGTCATCTGTTGTGTGTCCCTATTTAATGAAAAATTTCCTTAGCTATTCTTTATGAATATGTAAAATTTTGTAAATATTTCTTTATAATTTTCTTACACTTAGCACATTTATACTAAATATGGAGAAAAACATAGCTAAATATTAGTAGATTTGAAAAAGAGAACAAAGTTAAAGTTAAAACCATTGGTACAGGATGAAAAAGACTTCTATTAGATGCTAATAGAATAGATTTTCTAATACCTCAAGTAATGCTTATAGATCCTTTCATTCATAGGGGCTACAAAATGGAATGTTCCTTTACCATTCCTTTATTTGCACAAATGCTTTTATAAAGAGATAAATTCTAGTTACCTACTTGTTTCCTCATATTCAAATTACCAGTTGGTTCTAAAAGTGATGAGTTACAGCTAATGCAATATTGAGTGCCTATCGCTAAGGGGCAGATAACAGGTGAGTTTATATCTTACAATGATAAGAGAGTATTTTACAGGTGAGGAAATAAAGTACCATGGTATCAGAGTCAGCAACTTGCAGAGCCCATAATTGATCCCCAAGATGTTTTCACTCTAGAACATAAGTTCTGCTTTTATGCCTTTTCTTTCCCCAGTTTATGCTTCTATATAGCAAGCAGGCATTTGTCTTCATTAAAGTCATTGATTTGAAAGGATACAATCGAGATTATGTGTAGAATAATCAAGCTTATGGGAGAAATCTTAATTTATTGGTATGCTAATACAGAAAAAAAAGAGTTCTTTTGGAATATCCACTTGCCCATACCTGGGTAAGTTTGTGTTTTGTGATTTAGTCTTTCAATTTCTCACCAGACAATTTCTAATCATGGAAGGCTTAATGTGCACATGGTTTTGCTTTATGGAAAATTAAAAGTAAGTGTGTATGAATTTCATGTTTGAGAGACAAAATTTTCACAAATGTCAATTTTCATTTTTCTACTATGCATTCCATTGGACCAGTGGGGTATGGATACCTTTTGGTAATATTACTAGAATGTGATCTAGATGGGTATGTATTGAGGAAGACTGTGTGACACTTGTCCTTTTAATTTGGGGGAGGGAGTGGTTTTCTGCTTTTGTATGTATCTGTGTTTATGACAGTTTGCTTATTTTATAGTACCATATTTATTTGTATGCACCTTCTCACCTAATTTCCTTGCCTATTTTATAGAAGAAAGTCGAGGTAAGAGATCATGCAAAGATTTCTGAATTACTTTGGTTGTATTTTTGCTTTTAAACAGGTAACTCTGGCATTTGAAAACTTTGCCAAGTAAAACTTGTACTTGCCACATGGTTAAATGTACCAAAAATATTTTTTCTACCTGATATGAAGCAGTGTTTCCACATTTTAGTTGTGGTGCTTGAAATTTTTTAATAAACCCTTCTAATGATGATTGTAAACTCAAATTCCTCTACATGGTTTTAGAATCAGTATCAAGGGATAGAGAAAAGTTACACAAATAAATATGGTAAACACAATATGCATGATACAGTCTTTTCAACAAGTAGCCTTATTTTACATCTTTATCATTCCATATAAGATTGTTTTAACAGGTCTTGGATTCATTTCCTAATCTGTTTCTTCTCTGAACACCTCTTATTTGTTTCCAGGTGAGAAGCCATTTAAATGTGATCAGTGCAGTTATGTGGCCTCTAATCAGCATGAAGTAACCCGGCATGCAAGACAAGTTCACAATGGGCCCAAGCCTCTCAACTGCCCGTACTGTGACTACAAAACAGCAGACAGAAGTAACTACAAAAAACACGTCGAGCTACACGTTAACCCAAGGCAGTTCACCTGCCCTGTATGCGACTACGCAGCTTCTAAGAAATGTAATCTTCAGTATCACTTCAAATCGAAGCATCCTACTTGTCTTAATAAAACAATGGATGTTTCAAAAGTGAAACTAAAAAAAACTAAAAAGAGAGGGTCTGAATTGCCTGATGATATTGCCAGTGATGAAACAGAACCAGAGAAGACAAAAATAAAGGGAGATGTGACTGCAAAGAAACATGAGAAACCTGTAAAAGTAGAGAAAAAAGATAATGGCTCAAAAGAGAAAAAGACGTATAATGCCTCAGAAGTCCAAGTGACAGCCCGAACTCGCAAATCAGGATCGGAGACTAAAGAGATGGATGTCCATGTTGAAAATAATTCCGAAAAACCCTGTAAACTGAAGAAAAGCAAAAGGAAGGTGGAAGCTGATGCCCATTCCTTAAATGATCCTGGAAATGATGAAGAACCTGTGATAAAAAAGAAAAAGAAAATTGAGAGTAAATCTACAGCCAGTCAAGAAGTGCCAAAGGATGATAGCAAAGTGGAGGAGAATAAAAAGCAAAAAACGTGCACCAAAAAAAATGCAAAGAAGACAACTCTGAAAACTAATAAGGCAAGTAAAAAAAGCAGCAAGCCTGCCCAGGTCGAGCGAGCTCCAAAGGGCCCTTCCCAGAGGAAGCCTGCTCAGAAGGGTCCTGCTGCAATAGGACCCACTCAGAAGAAGACAGCTCAAGAAGAACCTGACATGCAACTGCCTCTTCCTGCAGTCTCTTCCCTTCACACAGAGTCTCCTCCCCAGCTGGTGCCTGTTCCCCAGAGTGAGAAGCCTCCCCATGTGGAGCCTCCTCCCCAGATGGAACCTCCTCTCCAGGTGGAGCCTTCTCCCCAGGTGGAACCTCCTCCCCAGATGGAACCTCCACCCCAGATGGAATCTCCACCCCAGGCGGAACCTCCATCCCAGATGGAACTTCCTCCCCAGGCAGAACCTCCACCCCAGATGGAACCTCCTCCCCAGGTAGAACCTCCACCCCAGATTGAATCTCCTTCCCAGGTAGACCCTCCTCCCCAGGCAGAACCTCCACCCCAGGCAGAGCCTCCTCCCCAAGTGGAACCTCCTCCCCAAGTGGAACCTCCTCCCCAAGTGGAACCTCCTCCCCAAGTGGAACCTCCTCCCCAAGTGGAACCTCCTCTCCAGGTGGAGCCTTCTCCCCAGGTAGAACCTCCTCTCCAGGTGGAACCTCTTACACAAGTGGAACCACCTACCCAAGTAGAACCTAACGTGGACTCTTCTCCTCATATAGCACCTCTTCGTCACATGGAGATGTCTCTTCAGAAGGAGCTGATTCCTAAAAAATCTCCCCAGAAAGACGAAGAGGATGAAATGGCTGACATGC